CCATCTCAACAAGACGGTGTAGTCTATACGAATCCATGTGAATGCGGCAAACTCTATATCGGTGAAACAGGGAGATCGGTGCGTGAAAGAATAAAGGAACACGACCGAGACATATGGCTTGCTCGTACTCAAAACTCCGCAGTTTCGGAACATGCCAACGAGATTGGGAACCTTCCTATTTATATTTGGAAGGAGGTCAAAGTTTATTGAAAGATACCCTCATTGGTACACCCATACGGTTAAAGACGCCATACACATAAAACTCCATCCAAACAACATCAACGTAACAGCTTGGCACAATACACATAATAAAATCAAACAAACCTACCTTCCTCAGAAGACAAATGTCTACCATCACGTTCATCATTTGCTCGCTGTGGTATACAAACAGAACAGGTGAACAGTTAAAATAAGGTGTTATCTTTTACTGCATGTCTTCATAAAATAGTTACAATCTGGAGCACAGCATATATCCCGGAGCAACATATAACTATTATTAGTTATTATACTGTCACATAGACTGGATTCTGCGTGCACTTTGATTAGTTATAAAAATATTTTATCAGAGTTAAGAAAATAGCTGTCATGTATATGGCATGGAATCTGCCTGTGCATTATTTTCTTTTATTATATCAGTGGAAAACTGGTCCATGATGAAAAGGAGCATTCTGATTGCTCAAGAACTCATTTCGCCGAATTCCTTTATGAAACATTGAATAAAAACATTTTTCCTTATGTCTGGCGGACAATTTAGGTTAAACTTTTCGCAAAGTGGCTGTTTACCGTTACCATGGCAATATCGATTTCACTGAAAAGTACATGATAGCAAACTTCAATCCAAGACTGATAATTGATGTAAATTTCATATCGATTGGAGAGAGAAAGTCTGCTAAAAAGCTGATTGAACACATTAGGTATGGATCCCGAAAAACTGTATCTAAACACCTTAAACCCCTGAACTACTCTTGCTAGACTAAATTTTAAACATACTTTTTGCATGTTGATCCCTGCAAGGAGCAGAGAAGTAGCCAGAAGTTAAATTTGACGTTATTTGATCCTAGCAGGAATTGGTTTCTGGTCATTGCGAATCACGCCAACATCAGACTTTAACGTGACTGGCGTGACTGCTGTACTTTCTTTTAAAGGGAGTGTTTCACGGTTCGGCGCATGTGCCGGCTTATCAACTTTATCCGTTTAAAAAACTCACTCACATATACTTTTCGATACTTCAGTAATCACATACTATAATAAATCCAAGAAAAACGGCGAATGACCAAAATTCACAAACAAAATTCAATGGATTACAGCGAGAATGTCAACATTGAATATTAGAATAAATTACCAGAATAAAACCTTCGGGCCAGCACTTTATTCTGGTAATTTAGTCTGGTTTTCAATGTCTGCATTCTCGGTGTTATCCATTGAAATTTTTTGTGAATTTTGGTCATTCATCATTAATTGCTAGGGCTTATTATAGCATGTAATTACTGAAGTATCGAGGAGTACATGTGAGTGGTTTTTTTTTAACAGATAAAGTTGATAAGCCTGAACATGCGCTGAACCGTGAAACACTCCCTTTAAGGTTTTCACTGATAGATAGATTACAACCAAGAAAGCAAATAAACTTTAATCACCCGGTCTTATTGTCCTTGAAAATTCTTGTAATTTTTGGGATATGAGGGAGATAACCAGGAAGATTATGTTGAAGTCAGTCTTATCAACCAAAAAAAGGGAGGGAAAGAACGGCCTGGAAGATTTGAACCCCCCCCACCAAAAACACAACAACAACAAAAAAAAACAGGCTGGTTCAACCCTCGCTCCCCAGTCCCTTAGATCAGATTTAAAGGGTAGGTTAGTGGTTAGTACCTTACACCATTAGGCCACGAGTGTGCAGTGTGACATCATTCCGCCACACACTTTCGTCTCAAATGAATAATAAATAAATATGACCGTAAACCTCAGATGATATTTGATCCCACCTGAGCACTTTGGTGGACAAAATTATAAACCTCGCATGCTCAGCCTCTATGCCTCAAATCACACCTGGCTTATATAATCAAGCCAAGTTGTGTTGAATAGAATGATTTGTCATTTTGCAATGTTGAAGAACACAAGACTAGGACCAAAGACCATCGCATAGATTTTATATTTATTTTATACATGAATCATACCTGCATTGTTCTCTTCAACAACCATTTCTCCAGTCCACAGACAGTGCGTACTTTATCAACAGGATTCCAAATACAGAGCAGTAGTTGGTCTTGTTTTATTTTAAGGAGGTGGAAGCACTCCTCGTGTGTGCATGAGATTGTGCCGTGCCAAAAACACACTTGACCAACCTCTTCTGTGTCTTGATGACAGTAGGGACATGCAACACATAACTCATACTGCATTCCACTCAGGTATAGCAGCTCCTGTGACAAATCTTGTAAAGTTCCCTCCACAAACTCACGCACAAGTGTAGCTAGTTCTGCTGACTCATCCCTTGAAACCTCTCTCTGTGTCCTTTTCCTTAGGACAATCTTGATGAATTTCATCTTGCAAATGAGAACAAGATCGTGAATTTGCTTTCCAATAACAAAACCGTGCTCCATTCTGGTACAGGGTGGGGGGATGCTCCATGGGCCAAGTCTCGCCACACCAACGAATGGACCGTGCGACAAGCTGTGGAAAGAGACCATGAGGTACAAACCCATCCACAAAGTGGAGATACAACGGACAAGGATCAGTGGGGGATGGCTCCATTTTACAAATGCTTTCAGGTGACGAGCTAAGTAGAGCTGGTACAAAGTACTTTACATCAGCTGGGGAGGGTGAGAACTTGGCGATCAAACCAAACTGCTCCATCATGTCCAAGATGTCTTCTTTGATAATGCCTTGCTGAATAAATCTGGAGAAAACGTGATCAACAAGTTCCATGCTGAGGATGCCGTATGTCTCCAGTTCCTGCCAGTACTTAGCATGTACATGATCCTATAAATATAACAACAATAATAACAACTACATCAATTTTATTGGCAATCACAACTTTACATGCAAGTGTCCCCTTTTAATGGTGAATGCTTTTATTTTATATCCGTATTTTATATCCATAAAATCGCAAATTCTGGTACATCCCTTTACTTTAATTAATCCACTACCAGCCGTGAGCCTGGAACAGGCTACAGAAGATGGTAAGCTTACTGAAGCTTGCAAAATAGATAACTGTCACCTAAACCAGAAGTCATTACAAGGCTCACAATACTTTACACCTTACTGTCTTTGGCATTCTAATACAGCTAGACCGATGATGTGTATAAGAAAGTTTAATGAAAACCTGTAAAGTATTCATCAATGAACAGAATCAAATGTGTATGATGACGTCAAAATATGTTCCTATGGCAACGTCAAAAGAGGTCAAACTTAGTTTTGATGTTTCGAGGCTAATAACTTGGCATCTACTCGGTGAAAGTAGTTTTCCTTTTTGATTTATTTTTGTGTCTAGTCAACATTTGTGTAAAGTTTAAAAAAATCAAGTCATTGGGGTTCAAAGCCACATTATACAAATGTCTGTATTGTCGTTTAGACAAAAATATATCAGAAAGGTGAACTTTTACCGACTAGTTTTTAATTAGTCTCAAAACATCAAAAATAGGGTACGTTTGACCTCATTTCAATCTGTTTATTGGTAAAACCTTTACAAATTTGTACTCTAAGTTATTCTTCAACATTACTGATGTAGCTGTGATAGACTGCCAAAGACAGGAAGGTCCGAAGTATTACGAGCCGGGCAGGATGCAACAATTTGATTGTTTTCTGATGTCAGCCTGAATCTGGTATTGGGTCATGCACAGATAAACGTATCCCATTATTATCAGCTTGTTTTCCAAGCAAAATAGCTCATAACCAAAGTAGTGATATCGTACACTAAATGCCAGGTGTTAGCCAAATCAGTACTAAACATACAAACAGTTGTAGTTTCATATTTTTCACTTACACAGACTAATAAGTTAATCTAATCCCCTTAAGGTAGCTATCTGAGAAAACACTTTTTGATATGAAATATTATAAGTTCCTACCACTTTATCAAAAGGTGGAATGGTTATCAGCTGCTTGAATAGGTCAATCAACCACTGAGCCTTTAGAACAACTGTGTTGCGATGCTTGATAATCATGCCAATGTCATGGTAGAAACTGATCATGGAAGCAAACTCCTCTGCACCTTCCACAAAGCACTCTGTTTTGGCATAGCTTTGGAGTTGTTGCACATTTTTGTAATAAATCTGTTTAGCTACCAAAGCTGCAATCATCTTTTCAAACAGAAACCATCTAGAGGGCATTCAAAGAAAATATCACATGACATGACCCATAATTTCATGCTTTTTAACACCATTTTTGCAAAGTCCGGATCTCCTAATAATTAACACTGAAAAATACTAGACACGATTGTTTCAACCGGCCAAGATTAAGCTAAAATCCAGGTCCCTGGAGCTTAGCTTAACCCTATACAGACCGGGCTTTTTTGGTCTTTTCCGGCCGGTGGGGGGCGGATTCCCCCCCCCCCCCCGTTTCTCCAAGATTATTAAAGGACGTATGAATCACGAGATAATGACGTCATATGACGTAGAAAGTACGTCATCATTCTGAATAGCCGCCATCTTGGATTTCTTGATTTTTCCAAAACGTGAGAAATCCACCAAAAATGACTCAAAATTAAACAAAACCAATAAAAGAATGCTGAAATGATTAAAAAAGGTAAAAGTTATTGCCAGAAAGTTATTTTCTTCCTTAAAAAAACATGAAAATTCCAAATTTGGAAAAACATGCCTGTCAAAATATGGTTACCATGGTAACAGCAAATTCTGTGAATAACGACATGTCATACCAAACTGTTCCCAGATAAAGTTTAGGTAAATTTGAAATAAGCACCCTGGGCGCTTATTCGAGGATTTACCGTATTTCATGTTTCTCAATGACTAATCTCGCCGTTTTTTTAAGTTGGCAGTAAAAACACTTTGGGAGGTGCGGTGGCCGAATGGTTAGTGCTGTGGACTCTGGGTCGAACGTTCCAGGTTCGAACCCTGTGTTGTGTCCTCGAGCAAGACACTAAACTTTCACACTGTTCCCCTCCACCCTGGAGTACAAATGGGTACACAGGTGAACTGTGAACCTGACAAACTGCTAGGGGGGGGGGGGGGGGGGGGTTACCTGTACCTGCGTTGGACTAGCAACCCATCCATAAGGAGTAGCAATACCCCTAGTCCCTTCATGCTCCAGGAGTTGTGGGCCACTAGGCCACTTTCAAAGAGTAAATCTTTCCATATCATTTTGGTGCCACAACGTCAAACAAATTAACCAAAACTAGCGGCCCGTTAGGCCATATTGGGTAACGATTATCGCACTTTGCAGATATAAAGGGATAACTGTAATATACCACACCCAAACCTAAGCCGGCAAGAGATCCCCTCCAACAAAAGAACAGAGGTTCCACTTAGATTCGAATCCACTACCTACATGTGTACAGATCCCCTCTTATCACAGAGTGCCAGCGTGCTTTTTTTGTTGTTTGTTGTCGATAGTGTTACATAATTCGTAATCCATTTGTTTTTACACCCGCTTTCAGTGTTACGTGCATAGGGCTTTTGGCGGCTATCTTTCGACATGCCATCTTTCGACATGCTATGTAAACAGCTGAAAGACCGTTAAAACGATCAAACTTGTGATTTTTCTGGTTATTTGACAGAAGAAACGACAAACAATTAACTAAAGCTACTGACCTTAAATGTCTGAAGAAGAGTGTTGACCTTGCACTGGATAATTAAAATGATTTAGCCGTACTCGATCGGCCGCTCGTCCGTGACATCAATATTAGAATTAGGCCGCTTTGTTCGCAAGGCGTAAACATGCAAAGCAGTCAACTTATCGTTCACGGAATAACTTCTAGATATTTCCCTCCTTAGTCTAATGATAAATATATCCATTATCAATGATTAACAGCACGAAAATTCAAGTTCCACCGTAAAATAAATCTGTAGTGCTACAGTTGTACTTAGGCCTGGTTACATAGCATGTAAAAGATTGCATGTCGAAAGATAGCCGCTAAAAGCCCGATATGCATGTAACACTGAAAGCGGGTGTAAGTGTTTCCTAATCCGTTGTGAATGTCCATTCCATGTCACCCGGCATGTCATTACCGCCAAAAGACAGTTCACAATTCCGCATAGGACAATTTAGCACTGAACGTGCAGTTTCTCAATTCTGTATGTTTCTCGATTCTTTCCAAAAGACGACGGTCTTGTATTTAAAGCGTTCCAAAAGTGCAATTTCACGATGATAAAATGCCCCACCGCCAGGGAGAACTTCCATTCGACCTGAATGCCAAATGCTAATAATGAAAATAATAAATATGTTCATTGTAAAACAGTCTGTCTTTTCAGGGAATATTGACTTGACACGTAGATAACTTTGAGCTATAATTCACTGTCGTATCAGAGAATATTGACCTGACACTCTTGACCTCCACATTAGACCCAGTTTTGGGAAATGCATGACGTCATCGCTGCGTTGCTATGGTAACACCGATGCCAATCAAAACTACTTTTTTGGAAAGTTCATTCTATTTCTAGTAAAGTGGTGAAGTAGCTAGTCAGATGGTGCTCTGACAGCAAAGTATCAGCCGTTCACATTAGGGAGTATGCCGTTGCAAAACAGAGATGAGCCACCTTAACTTAAATAATTTCCTTCCTTTTTCCAGAGATGAAGACCGTCGAAGTTCATTGTGTTTTTAGACAGCCGCTAGTAGACAAGACACCCATGTGGCTAGCAGATGTGTCGACATGTTGGCGCATAAAATTTCACTCTTGCCAGTTTTTAATTTTAGTCATAACATTTTGTTTTGGAAATTTCAACAATAAGTTGTAGAGATTGTCCTTTTCCCTAAAATGTCCTGATTTGGGGCAAATCACGCCAGCGACTTGTAGGAAATCTGGTGATTATATTCCGAATTTGGGCGCTACACGCATGCGTCTTTTGCACAAGTAGCTTATAGTGTACCATAATGAAAACCGCGACACAAAAGAAAAAATATATATCTTGCGCCGTTGTAGTAGTGTTTGAAGCGTTGTTATAAGCAAAATCTAGTACTTCAATTTTCCATACGTTTCTTTAAAATATAACATCTTAGACGAAAAAAAAGTCGAGTGATCCATGACAAAAACTACCCATACGAATATATTGTCACGCAATATATATTTCGTTACCCAATATATATTGCGTTACCCAATATAAAAATTATGGCATATTGGCACTATCAGGACATAACACTGTATGACATAACACTGTGTACCACATGAAGGACATACAAATTAAATTGGATTTTAGAAAATAGCTGTCATATAAACGGCATGGAATCTGACCGTGCATTATTTTTCTGTTATATAATTTGCTGTGTAAAATCACGCTGTGATTGGTTTAGAACTGTCATCTATTAGAGTACAGACAGACGAATGACGTCATGAATGGCGGAAAAACATGCACACCCTGCTCCATCTCAAAACAGAGAAATATTTTCATCAAACTGGAAATATTCCGTAGGAAATTCAATGTAGATCAATTAATACGAATTTTAAATCGGCTTTTTAAGCTTGGCTAAAAATTTGAAGCAAACATGATGGACTTTTAGCTCATTGTGAAAAGAATCCGAGAAATTAGAGCGAGATTATCATTCGCCATGAAGCGACTTGCAATAGGCCCTTTGCATAATACAGTCACATGACCATGTCAATCATAAAAATAGGTGATAGTACAAAATGGTTGCCAGAAATGGAAAGAGCATGATGAAATAAGTAAGGTTGCTAATTTGAGACCGCTGATGTGTAAGCATGATATTTTATAGTGGTTTGAAAGTTTGAAAAATTTAAAGGATTTGTACAAATGTATGCTGGATGGCAAGGCTTGCCATCCAGCATACAAATCCTTTAAATTTTTCAAACTTTCAAACTACCATAAAATCTAACGCTTAAGCAACAGCGGTCTCAAAATTGGCAACCTTACTAATTTCATCATGCTCGTTTGATTTCCGTCATGCAAAGGGCCTATTCAGTTGTTTTTCCTCATATCAGCAAGGAATAGAGGTTAGTTTCTAAATATATTTTTTGTTTTTCGAAACATTCGCCTGAGTTGAGTTGTAGTTTATTTAACCCGTTTAGTTTTCACAAAATGTTATTTGGGTGCATGAAAACACTGGCACTGGGAGCTAAACTGTTGACGGAATTGTTTTCGGCTTATTTAGCGTACATTCAAGTGAAAATCGAAAAGCAAATATCTCCGAAATTATATATAACAAATATATTCCATTTGTTCGTGGTTCTGTTCAGTTATAGATCACATAATACGTCAAAAATGTGGTATTAGAGCATCAGTGACCACCTCGCCTGCGGCTCGTTTGCCACTTTTTTGTTCCTACAAGATTTTGACGTCATACTGTGATCTATAACTGAACAGACGCATGGCCAAATGCCGCAGCGGCTCGTGCATCCACTAGCTGCTTTTCTAGACCTCAAGCGTCGAACATAGAAAACCATCTTCTATTAGGTAAAATAGAACATAGAAAACCATCTTCTAATTAGAACACAGAGATATAAAGTGCAACTCGCCATCTCAATATAAAACTATACATAATTATACATTTACCGGATTGGTATTTCCTCCCCCATGTATGGCTCACAATGCAACACATCCATGATTTTGTCTCGCCAAAGCTTGAATTCCATCTATATCTTGATAATCAAATAATACATCACAACAAGTAAATACCCAAGTTTACACACAACTCATTTACATGAGGTGTACTGTACTGTAATGTGTAGGAAACAGAGTTAAGAATTTCTTATGTTGATATATTAGATGTATGCATGGCTCATATACCGTAAAAAACTCTATTAAGCCCCCGGGGGCTTATTTAATTTCAGGCCTCAAGAAGGGGGGGCGGGGGGCTTATCAGAGAGCGGGCTTAATAGAGAGGGGCGCTTATTTCAAATCATAAATTTTCGAGAAAATTCACATTAATTTTTCAAAATTTGCTATTACACCACTAACTAAAACAGAAACAAGAAATGGGTTATGGCACATGTATGACTGTCTTACAAATGCAAATGTCTTTTATACCCTAAACTCAACGATAGTTCTGCGAACTTAAAGATACCACTTTGGGCCAAATACAAAGTGACTGAAACGTCATTTTACATCAGCTTGACAGGAAAGGAGGGGGGGGTGGGGGCGGTAATAGAGAGAGAGGCGGGCTTATTACAAATCTGAACCCCGAAGGGGGTAGGGCTTATTAGAGGGGGGCTTACCAGGCGGTGGATTCTACCTGAATGCCAATTTTTCCGCCACTTAACATGGGTTTAATGGGAGATATCTCGTGCGCTGTTTTCAAGCGAATCGCAAAAAAACCTCTCCAGCTCTATCCCATGAATCTATGTTATTGGGTTGTTTTTGTAAATTTTTGGATGATTTTTGGCGTATTTTGGGGGAGGAAAATAGTTTTTTCCTCAATAGGAGTTTGTAAAATTTTTGGGAAATAAGAAATTATTGAAGATTTAATGTAAGTTTCTTAAAATTAGAATTTGAAGTTAAAAATTAGTAGTATTGACAATTGACGGACAGTTGATAACACCCCACGGCAAGAAGCACGCCGCGTGGGTATCAACTGTCTGTATGGTGTTCCAAATTTTTTTTTTCCCCCCTTCTATCCCTTCTTTAAACGCTCTTAAAATTTCTATTGAAATATCAGGTAGAATCCCCCCTCATTAAGGACATGTATTTACCAGAACTATACTAGATTTAAACCGAAAATACAATAGCCAACTTGATTCATAAGAAAGCAAATCAAGTGAAAATGCGCTGATTTCACTATAGTTATAAACATAGAAAAATGTGAAAAAACAATTTCGAAAAAATGTGCCCCCATCTCTGCTCCCCCTACCCCCTCACGGGCTGTAGGAATTGCGGAGCAGAGTCTCTGCAGAGTTCCCACCCATACCGGTCCTCCCGCATGGTGGCTCATAAACACTAGTTGTGTTCATTTACATATA